CCTTAGGCCCTCATTGAGAAAGTGTGGAAAATACCTAGTTTCTGATAGCTTATGTCTTTGCTACCAACCTAAACCATGCAGATTACTTATAAAAATTCCCCAAATTAAAGACAATGGAGGAAATTTACTTCCTGTTTTAATACCTCAATCTTTTAGGCTCCCCAGCAGTTTTATACATTTTATGAATCACATCTGGATTTCACCTTTCCTTGAGTTTAGGATGGTTTCTGAAAACATCAACTAATAAAAACTGGAAGAAATGTTGAAAAAGGTATTCTGAAGCTAAATCATAAAAATATGCACTTTTGCTCTTGATCACTGGGAAATCTGCTCCTAGAGCTGTAATAAATCTGAAGTCACAGTGCCCAAATCACACAGAGGCCATAGGTCCTTCCATCTCAGCACAGCTTTTAGTTATTTTTTTACCTAAGTACCAAATTTATAAGTGAAGAATTCTTAATATTTGAACTTTCCGATAATACAACTATTGTCTCCATATAGGACATGGCTGTTTAATTTCAGATAACCCCAAACTGAAAATATACTCAGTTCATTTCAAATGTTCAGTATGCAATTATTGACCATTCCATAGCTAGCCCACACAGAACATTTTCATCATGTCCCAGTGTTCTATCTCTCAGTGCTGTTGTACATAATTTAGACCACCCTTATCTGAAGTAGTCATAGTCACCCAAGTCTTTCTTCTAAGGCCTTGCACTGTGCAGAACAAAAGACATTGTCCAGCTTTGTCCTGACCTGTAGAATCTGCAAGTGTACCGAAATGGTGGTTGTTTTACCTCATGAAGTTTTGAAATGATTATTTTATGCACCAACATGTTATAAGAATATAATTATTTAGCAAATGAATGTGAATAATATTTTGTTACTTCAGGTTTCCAACATCTCAAATAGAGGTACACATAATATGTATGGTGTCCTCACACAAGGTGTGACTTGTTCATTTTTTGAAACCTTGTCCTTGCATTGAACTGAATTTCCTTCACTGAAATTCTGCAGTGTGAGGATGTCAAAGGAGGGAAGGTCAATTAGTCAAGATCTTCATGGTAATGAAACTGCTGCATTTTCCTCCAACAGCAGTTTGTCTAAAATTTGGTGAATTAAAAATAAAGGAGATATATATGTGCAGCTAGCAGAATTCAGTGGAATAGGTAAACTAGATAATCCAGATGTATCTGAATGCACCTAGAAAAATCCATTGATAAATAAAAGATTAGTTGTAATAAACAAATTCAGAAGAAAGCGAGGAACACATTCAGAAGAGAATGAAAGGGAAAAGTAGCATACTGAAAAAGGATTATTTCATTTAGTCAGACAACAAATACCTATTTGTGTAGTTTTTTTTTTTTTTGCCTTATCTCCATGAGCAGGGATGCAGCAAAAACTGCTTTTTGTAAACAAAAATAATAATAATAACTTTATGGGCTTATTTCCTAGTGTAAATAAACAAGTAATAAAATTATAGTGTGCAAGTATAAGACTCAGTGTATGAAATATTGCAAATATAAAAAAGGAAGGAAAATAGGAAGTGGGGAGGATAAAAGTTTAAATAAGGTGATGAAGAAAAGACAAGATTTTCAGCAAAGAGCTAAAATAGGTAAAGGATCGCCCATATTTGCTGAGGGGAAGGAAACACTTTACAAAGACAGAGAATAGCAACTGACAAGTGTGCTAACACTGGGACTCCCTGGTGTGCCTATGGAAGAGGGGGACCAGTGCAGCTGGAACACAGGGAAAAAGAGAGAAAGTCCTGAAAAATGGGCCTAAAGAAGCAAGAGGTGGGAGTAGAACAAAGCATGTACTTCTTCAGAGGGTCTTTGGAGGAGTGGGCTTCTCCTTGAGAGAAGCGTGAAAACGAAAGGCTTCTGAGCAGCAATATAACGTAATTTAGTTTATAGCAAAAAACTGTTGCTGAGAAAAAAAAGCCTATTGCTGGAGAAGTTAGAAGACAAAAAGTAAGGAAGGGGCCTTTTGTCATAAAACAAAGGAGAGGGGGTGTTAGACTGATTTAAATCCTGGTAGTGTTGGCGTGCACGTGGGAGTGTTGCGAGAACTGGTTCGTGGGTGCATTTTAACACTGCAGGAAAGGGGTCACTCATGGACTGGATGCCATTTGTGAGAAAACTAAAATAGAGTGTCACAAGAGACTCCAAGTTATGTTCTGTGTGTTTCTGGAAGAAGGGAGACGCTTTTCACTGAGATGAAGGTAACTGTGTAGAAAGCAGTGAGCGAGAACGTGTTTGTTAATGTTGTGTCAAATTTTAAGCATTAATTTCACATCCAGCTAGAGAACTTAGGTAGATAGTTGGGTATAGAAATCCGGAGCTCAGAAAAAAGATCTGCATTGGAATTATATAGGCATGGGACAACATATAAAAGGATTTTATGATTATAAATTTAAATGAGACTACCTAGTGTTATCGTAAACGCAGAAGTGAAGGGGTATAAGGAAAAAGTTCTCAAAAACTTTTGGAATTTACACATGAGTCTCAGTCTTTTTGAAAACCAAAAATTGGTGGACCAGGCACAATAAGATAAGGAAATTTTAATAACCTGTTCTTAAAAGTTAGAATCTTCCTTTAATTTTTTAAATAAAGGAATTACATGAAAATGTTATCTATCAAATATTTAAGAAGAAAATAAATTCTAATCTTATAGAATCTTTCAGAAAAGAGATGAGAAAGGCACTACATCTCACTTATTTTATAAATTAGAAATAAGCTGATAATAAAACCATGGAAAATATTGAAAAGAAATAAGGGTGTTGACTAAATAAAATTTTATCTTAGCAATATCAGCCTGGATTAACATTAAAAATGAAGCAATACAATTCACCATATTTATAGAATGAGTAGAAAAATCTCATAGTAAGTTCAATAGATGAATAAAAATGGACACAAGTCAACATCCATTCAACATAGAAGCTCCCAGCAAACTAGGAATAAATGGAAACTCTAAAAGTAATTAAGGGCATTTTTGAAAAATTCATAGGTAATGTCATATTAATGGTGAAAAATGGTGTGCTTTATAATAACTAAGATTGGATAAAAGCAGGAATTTTTGTTCTGAGAGAATCTGGTCTGTAAAACTAATGCAAAAAATTAAAGGTATGAAGATTACAAAGGGAAAAACAAAACATCTTCATTTATAAATAGCATGGCCATGTATTTAGAAAATCTCAAGCAATATGCAAAAATTACTACTAAAACTATCAAAACAATTTTACAATCTCCTAGATAGCAAAATATATTACTCAAAGTTAATTGCAAAGTTAATATACTAGAAACAAACAATTAGAAATTAGGATTTTTAAAGGTACCATTTATTACAACCACAGAAACATGAGAATTTAACAAACTATGAATAAAAACTATACCTTTAAAACTACAATGGACCCAAATAAATTAAAAAATATGCTGTGTTCATGTACTGGAACACTCAATATTGTTAAGAGGTTGGTTACTCCTAATTCATAACTATACATTCAATACAATGCCAGTCACTATTCTAGAAAGTTTTATTAAGGGAATCAATAAGATTTAAAAGCATATGCAAGACCTGAGGAACCAGAAAAACTGAAACCATATAGAAAAAACAAAAACAAAAAAATAATGTTTGAAGGCTATTATACTTCAATATGTAGTATTAAACTAAAGAATTCGAAAGAGTATATCACCTACAATGGTGTAGACATACAAATAAAAAGAACAGAAGGCATAACCAGAAGGAAACTCACACACCTACAATTAAGTGATTTCCAACACAGGGGCAAGCTGAAATAATGAAAAAGGTAAACTTTTAAAGAAATAGTGCTGAAAAATAAATAGATATATGAATTTAAAAAATGAACTTCAGTCCTAACCTCCTATAGCAAATAGAATTTTATTTGGAAAGGGTTATCTTCTTAAACATAAAATCTGAAACTTTTAAAAGATATCATAAAAATGATCTTAGCTTTTGGAAAGATACTTCATGAAAAGAAAGAATGACAAGCCACTGGCTTGTAGAAAATATGTACATATCTTGCATCTGATAAATAATAAATATTCAGAATACACAAAGAACAGTTACAACACAAAACAATGACCCAAATCAAATATTAGATAGATGCATAAAAGAAGTTACATGAAGGTCAAAGCACAGGAAAAAAAAAAGGTTATTAACAAGTAAAAGGATTTTCTAAATTGCTGTATATCTAATTGTACTTGGAATTCTACTCCAAATACCACTCAGGAACAAACTAGTGCTCTATAAAACAAGGTACAGTTACCAAACCTAGGTAGTAGTTGTCCTGGTGCATGGGATGGCAACAAGGAAAATGGATTGCAAAGGGCATTGATGTAGTAATCAACAAGTGTATATATCAACACACTAGCTGAGGTATACACTAAAAACACTGCATTTTAGTATAAGCAAATTATACTTCCATAATATTTATTTTAAAATATCCATGAATGTATTTCCAGTATAATTGCCAAATGGAAAGATTTGTTTTATTTTGCAACTATTGACAGTAAACATTTTGATCCTTTCAATGTTCTCATACTATCAGTCCTACCAAAAGCCCCAAATCTAAAATTTCTCTATTTCTGTTCTAAATAAGTGTTCTGATTATCCTCAATTCGCTATGTAACTAGAATTATATAAGATCATAAAATAATTACCTCAAATATCTAACCTCAATGAGTTAGTTAGAAGTGTAGGGTCATTAGCAATAAAAAGGCTGCAGCTTCATAATTAGCAAAATGTTTGCATGGTAGATTTTTTTTAAAAGGTAAGGGAATCTGCCAATGATTTCCTCAGGTAAGCTTTAAATTGTTGATAAATAGAAATATTACTCATAAATATGTAATATAAATATTCATTTGAAATATTTACAATGATTTTCACAATGAAAGAAACAGAGAGGGAAAAAAAAACTATCTTTAAAATAGATACCTTTTTAAAGTCTAGAACATCCAATGGCACACGGTTCCAATGGCTTATGGAGTTGTGAGCTTCTCATCCTTTGTCCCACACTTCAGCTGCCTCAGCACCAAAAGAGAAGTCTGCCTTAGCTTGGAGTTTCCCAGGATCAGGATAAATGAATGGCTCGAAGGATAGAGGAGTCCAATAGCCAGGCTAAGTGCGTGAATCAGGTCACTCTGAGGCATCTGAGAAACCCACGACATGAGGAGGGACAGAAAGTAAGTAGTGTAGAGTAGGAGGAAAGAGATTATAATTTTCAAGGCATTGATGTGGGCCTTGGTCCTGGGATCTCTGTGTCCTTTGGAATTGAGCTGCATCTTTTGGAGATGTTTCCATAAGGAGAAGATAAGCAGAAGAAAGGAGATCAGGGCCAGAACAAACGGCATGAGGGAGAACATGGTCATGTTGAATATGATCAGCTGTGACACTTTTGCAGAGTCACTCACTGTGGAATTCCAGGTTAAGTTCCTTTTACGTCCATGTTTCCAGTCTTCAATATGAGTGTTTATCTGTATCAGATTTAAAAACAAGAAGACCAAGGTTGCTAGCAGTATCATCACAATCATTTTTTTTACTCTCCACTTCAGATAGAGAAAAATAGGCCTGGAGAAACTGGCTATTTTGAGCAAATAAAAGATGCTGAGGATCGTAGCAAGCCAGAGACTGAAATGATTGAAAACTACCCAGGTAAATGTAATAATTTTTAGTTCTTCTCCATCCACAATTGAACATGAACAACGAAGACGTGTCAACCAATTTAGTAATATTTCCAAGATCACACCAATTCTGGAAAGTGCCAAGGTGCTGAGAATTTGATCAACAGAGGACAGCTTTCTTTTATTGACCCAGTCAATGCAGTTGATCAGTACTATAAATCCATTGCTCAAACTCCCAAGTATACTCTGCACACCTATGAGGAGGGTGAAGAAGTTCTGCAGGCCCCTTTCCATGTCCACACTGGGGATTCAGAGTCAAATATCACTGATCTATAACGCCATGGACATCTTTAAACATACAGCCAGGTTCTTCCTTCTGTGCCTTCCTTGACTGTTGCCCAGTCTGATGCCCAGTCAAAAATCTCCAATAGGAACATACATGTCCTAGCGCAATCTTTATTTTTTCCGGTTTTTCTCCCAAACCTTATTTAAGAGGTTTAGTTCCCAAGATGAGTCGAAATGTTTCATAGATTGTTATGAAACAAAATTATATTCCCATTTGCTAACATGCAAATAAGGATAGATTCTCTCACTGTGTTGTACATTTGCCTTGCTTTAGTTGTAGAAATTTTGATTTTACCAGCTTGAATTCTATGGCACAAAGATCTAGTTGATGAAATATTAACAGTACTCTTGCTGTCAATTTATGAAACATGTAAAGACAGGACAGATATTTTAAGAAAGTCTTCAGTTTCCTGTGCATGGAGGCCACATCTGGTCAATACTGGAAATAAAGAAAACTTCATCCACAAAGCATACGTCTTCCAGTGGGCCTTTTCACCACTGGACAGGGCCCTCCACCATGCCCCCTGGCCACCAAATGCCTTCTGGTCTTACTCACTTTTCCCCTCACATTTCGTTTCTAGACACAGAGGTGAACAAAAATAAATTTAAAAAATCAGGAACAACTACAAAAGATAGAGAACTCTGTTATGTCATAAATTTCAAAATTTATAACCAAGGAAAGAAAGAGATATTCATCCCACTCTCTAAGAACCCCAGGAAAAGAAAGCGAATCAGCAAAATTCTGAACAATGTAGGAGATGAAAATGTATGACCTAACTCAATATTTATATAAACAAATGCTACTTTTAATCTTGATTATAATAATAAATAATTTGCCAGATGAGGCAAAAAACAATTTATAAATTATAAATGAAATTTACTATTTATGTAGGCATTGCTAGGTGATCTACAGAATACTCAGATTCACAAAGTAATTTAATTGTGTCATTTTTGTTGATATACAAATTTTAGTTATAATTTGAAATACTTATGTAGTCATTTTCTTTTTTATTATGATGATGATATAATTGTTGAGATAGAATAGATTTCTTGTAAGCACATTTTTTCAGCTTTTGTGACTTAATTATTTAGATATGTGGTATCTGGGTTTCCATTTGCACTCAATACAAGCTTGAAGAAATCCTTTATAAATTTTTATAGTATGAACAAACAAGATTTTCTTACTCTTTTGAAGCTATTGTCACCAAGAACGTTGTTGCACAAATATATCACCTGACAGACAAGACAGTGCTTGCGTATGAGAAAGTACCATAGACCTGTGGAATTTGTGACATAATATTTGATAAAGATTTAGAGTTGCAGTTTTGAGCTGACTTGTACCTAGTGTGTTTCCATAAGAGAAATCTTTGAAAAGGCAGACCGAAGAAAAACAGCATCTCATTTCTATTGGACAAGAATAGATGCCATGGAAAAATTAAAGATTCTTTTGAAAGCCTGAATTGAAAAGTAAATGGCAGAAAAATGTAGGAATAGGAGATGAAGATAGGTTGGACTATTTTCCATAGATTATGGAAATAATCACATGAGATACAAGCTTTTAATATTTTCCTATTCTTTATTTAAGGCATCCTGATACCTCCATATGACTTTGCATGCTAATAGTATACTGAAGATTGTTTTTCTTATATCATGCACTACTTGCATAATGCAAAATAATATGCACAATATTATTCCTTTTATATGCAATTTAAAACCATCCAAAGCTGACCTAGTGTTTAGAGCTACCTACTAAAATGTAAAAGATATAAAACAAAACAAGATAACACTTATCCAACAATTGTTAAAGGAGGTTATGGTCAGGTGTGAAGATGGCAGGGGCTCTTAGAGTTTAATGTCAAATAGAAAGTTTGATAGTGTGTATTCCTACACATATTATCCTTGATCCTAAAATATATGTACATACATATATATCACAATACTTTACCCGCATTAACAAAGAAGTTTTTTTTTTTTTCCCTGTGGAAAGGAATAAATATGAGAAAAGGAAAAAATGGAAACAAAGTCTTTGTAAATAGGTAGGGTGGAGGGGTAAAAGGAGGGCAGGGGAATGGGGAAAAAATAAGAATCTCTAAGATACGTCATGGAAAGGTTCAAATTCCCAATGATGAATGTCATAGTATTGTATACCTTAAATGTACCAACAAATTTAATGAAAAAAAAAGTTTCTTTTTAAAAAAAATAATAAGGTCACCTGTAGATCATTTGTGGATTCACTTTTGGATTAAATTTTTCTACCCAGTTGTCCTACTTTCTTGGGTTTTATTTATACATCACTGAGTTACTCAACCAGTATGCCTTTTAATCTGTTATTTTCTCATACAACAGTTAATTTTCTAGCATTCAACAGAACTTACAATACTGAGATAAATCTCTTTTGACCGTGGTGCATTACTTTTCTCTACTATCTCTTGGTTTGGTTTGCCAATACTGTGGCAAAATATTTGCATCTCTGTTTATAAGAGATATTGACATTTTAATTTTTATTTCTCACACTCCACTCATCAAATTTGGTGTTAAGATTTTCTAGCCTCATCACATTTGTCAAGAAATATTTCTTTTCTGGTTTCTTTTGATAGATAACACATATAGAGCATTTAATTAAGACTAGATGCTCTATTTTGAAGTCCATACTAATATGAACACCTTCCAGGTTATCAGAGAAGATTTTGCAAACTCTAAGAGCCTCTGACTTCATTCCTGACTGTAACCTTCCTTAACAATTGTTTGGCAATTACAATTGCAATTGCTATGTTTTGTTTTATATTTTTTATCTTTCAGTAGGTATCCCTAAACACTAGACTGGCTTTGTGTGGTTTTAAGTTGCATATAAAAGGAATAATATTGTACACATTATTTCACATTTCACTAATTTTGATCAATAGCGTTTTAAAAAAATTAGTCATACTGCTAGCCAACAGATCATTTTATTGGTGAACAGTATTAATGGAATGAGTATTCATAATTTATGTATTCTAATAGAATTATATTTTTGAGTTGTTTTGTTTAGGTGTTATAAAAATGCTATTAATATTCTTTAACATGTAATTAATTCTTAGGCACAATACTATAATTTTGTTCTGGAGCTATTATGTTGCTTATTTCTCTTGCTTTGGATTTTGTAGATATTTGTCAATTTCCAATAATTATATCATGTAATTTTTGTAGTAATGTCTTCTTATTGTTTTTAATAACTACAGAATAACTTCTTTCAATACTTAATATTGTTATTTGCTGTTTTTTATTATTTATTTCACCAGAAGTTTCTCAATTTTATCACTCTACTAAATGGCTAAATACAACCTGGCCAATCTTTTAAAATGTAGTATCTTCCATTAAAGTCCTGTATTTTCTATTACATATTTTGACTTCTTCTAAGTATATTTGCTGTTATTTTTCTACTTGTGTAAAATGAATATTAGGACATGAGCTTTCCTCTTGTATTTTTTAACGACATATCCATTCTAAAGTTACGAATGCACATTCCCTCCAAGAATCTTTAACAATTTCTCACAAAGTTTTATTATGTTCCATTTGTAGTCCAGTTGAAATACTTTCTAAATTTCCTTGAGATTTTTTTTTCTGCGTCCCATTGAAAAACTTTTAAATGTATATTTAAGTCTCCATTCATGTGGGCTTTTCCCTTAAATCTTTGGTATTGGTTTTTACCAAAATTGAATAAATGCCACAGATTACACTCTGTACACAAACATTGTGTTCTATTTTTAAAACAGATTTTAAGGCATATTCATACTCAATTTTGTTACAATATTTGTGTTATCTCAAAATAATATGGTTTAGGGGTACAGTATTTCATATATTTACTAGATCTTTTAGTCATGTTGCTTAAATCCTATTTATATTTCTGAATTTAGCGTTCTTATTCTGTCATTTTTTTTTCTTACTATAAAACAGACATATCTATTTCACTTTGCTGTTCTGCTGAATTTTGCCCTATGTGCTTTAAGGCCATTATTTGTTGCATAAAATGGGTCATCAAAATATATGGTGAATGTTTGCCTTTTAAAAAATGTATTGCAGTAAAAGATGCATTGCCATTAATCTCCCCAAAATACTCCCATTCCCTTCAAACACACTTATCTCTTCATTCTTGCCACTTTCTGAAATGGTTCAGGAAGTAATTTTTCATGTGTCTTTATGAGATGTGATAAAAAAATATGGTGAATGCTGTGCTGAATACCACCCAAGGGAAAGGTGAGCTCTACAAAGATTGTCGCATGTCATCCTTCTCCTTTTTCATCAGATATGGCATCAAGGAACTTCTTTCTCTTTTCCAAAGTCAAAATGACCATGAAATTAAGTGGTTTGAATGGATTCAGGACATCAAGCATTATAATTAATGACACTCACAAAAAAGTACTTTTTTATTACAGTAAAAAACAAACTGACATCAGTCTTCCTCAAAATAACCTCCTCTTTGCTTTGTATACATATACATATATATATATATATGTCCCATCATGCTTGCCACTTTTGGAAGCAGTTCTGAAAGTCCATTTTCGCATGTGTCTTTGGTTGCCCTATTATGGCTGTCTCAGTGTCCCGAATTAACTTAAAACATTTATTTTCATGGTCATTTTTAGTTCAGGAAGAGCCGGAAGTTCCATGGTGCCAGATCCGGTAGAGTACAAAGACACTGTGGCATTTTTATGAGTTTTCCTGTCTGTTGGATGGCACATGGGGGCAGCTTTCGCTGTAGTTTTTATGACATTTCATAAAAACATTCACAAAGGAGGACTTCTAGAACCGTGTCAGAAAGCAGAAAGAATATGTTTGAAGTGAGTGTGAGTATTTTGAGGGGCTTAATGGAAATGTGCCTTTTATTATAATAATTTTAAAAAATTTAAATATTCACTATATATTTGATCACCCCTTGTATCTTTGTCACCCATTCTCTCCATTCCTGTTTA